TAATCTATGAATCACAACATTGTTAGCCCATTCTCCTAAAGCTTCCCCCTTCTAAAAATTCCTGAAGATGGCTTTTTTTTTTTTTTTTGGTGGAACTTAGGCCCTTGCCCTTGCCGGGGAAGCGCTTATTCCACTGAGCCATCCCCCGGCCCCCATGAAGATGACTATTTATGAAGCAAAATCAGATATTTCCTCTATATTTTTATAGTACCTAAATGCTTAGTAAAAGCTACATAATGAACAGTAGCAGGAAGAGAGATCTGGAGAGGTCATGAAGAACAGCTCCCTGCCTTAAGAAATAATTACAACCTGATTGTGTAACACAAATATATGACTCTTCAAAAACTTCTGGGAAAGGATAAAAAATAGCTATAGTCACCCTGACCCATTCAACAAATATTTACTAAGCACCTATTCTTACCAAGCACAGTTCTAAGCAACTAAGAGATACAGCAATACATAAAACCAACCCCTTCCTTATGAAGTTTACACACATAAAGGAAGCAGGAAATATGAAAGCAGAAAGTAGCAGCTACAGAAAAACAAAGGCAGAATAGGAACACAGGGCTATTTTAACTTTGGAGGCCAACAATGGCAGCTCAAATGAAGATGACATTTGGAGGGAATTTACTAAGGAAATGAAGGGGACAGATCATGTTACCTGGAACCGATTGTAGAAAAAATAGCAGATATTCAGGCCCTGAAGCAAGACACATACAGAGCACAGGGGATGCCAAGGAGGTTCATGTGGTTTCAGAGACCAGACAGGAGATGAGTTTCAGGAGGAAACTGGGAGCCAGGCAAGTTTTGACGCTGGGTGCTCTTTGAGGTCACACAGACATTAGCACACAGACAACAAGCAGTAACTTTTTAATCAGTATTTAATAGTAAAACTGAAGAAGTACAGGATCTACGTTGAAGTTTCAACTTAACTATATCCCACCTCATTTTAAAAAGAAAGAGATCTGAGAAGGTTTGTACAACAATGTAAATAATAAAAAGTGAAATACACATGAGAAAGTTGTATTAAAGAGATGTAGGACAAAGCAATACTATAAGAATTTTTTAAAAAGCATAGCTAAAAGAACTGAGCCCTTGATCTAAATCTGAGATTTCAAGTAGCCAAGATAAAAAGTGGCATACACAATATAATTCTCACTCTTAGCCAGGCATGGTGGCACACCTGTAATTCTAGCACTTGGGGAAGCTGAGGCAAGAGGATCATTGTTAGTTTGAAACCACTCTGAGCTACAAAATGAGGCCAAGGCCAGCCTGAACTGCAGAGTGAAACCCTGTCTCAAAAAAAACAAAAACAAAATAAAAATTCTCACTCTTAAGGAGACAGATTCCTGTTCTACTAAGGGAAAACAACCTTACACTTGGCCTAAATTCTAAAAGAAACCTTTTACTTAAAACAATGGGGGGGAACAAGTGTGGTCACCTGTGATACCATCATGCCAGCATTTGGGAGGCTGAAGCAGGAAGATCAATGTAAGTTGCAGGCCAGCCTTAGCTACATAGTGAGTTTAAAGCCAGCCTGAACTACAATTACATAGCAAGACATTGTCTCAAAACAAAATAAACATAATCAGACATACATACAGTGAAGACATCATACAATATAGTAAATGATATCCACAGAAACCTTAAAACAAAGTGATACATGTTACATTGCTATTTCTTATAAATTCCTTCAGGAACATAATATTAAAACCCAATTCAGGCCTAAAGATTTTGAAAGACTCCAAATACGTCTAAGCATGAAGTTTTCAAAGGATTCATTTTAATCTAAGGACCAAATTTGGGGAGACTTACCAGACTAAATGGATCAAATAACGTTTTATTAATTTCTTCCTTTTGGTGAAACTTCTGTTACTTCAAACCAACCAGTTTCTCTGAAGAGAGTGTACAGTACAATTGTTCGTAGAAAAAATTTAAATATTGTATGCTAGAAAACCATGCAGTAAGGTTAAAAGGCAGTTATGAGATATTAAGAGGTTGATCTGGGCTTCAAGATTACCAGGAAGTGATGGGGTACAGTTTAAAACATCTGAACAAGTTATAGAGTCCTTATTGTACCACTTTTGGGAACTGATCTTTACTCTTTACCTCTGTACCCTCATCCCAAATTTGTAAGTTGAAATCTCAACCTTGAATTTGATTGTATTGTATTTGGAGATAGAATCTACAGAGGAAGTAATCAAGGGTAAGTGAAGCAAAGAGGGGCCTTATCCTGCTAGGCCTGGTGTCCTTATGAAAAAAGAGACAGCACAGGGACACAGATTTGATCTCAGGTGTGCTGACCCCTCCCCCAGGGTATGCTGAGATAGCGAGTGAGACTGGGCATGGTGGCATGCGCCTGTAATACCACCAATTGGGAGGCTGAAAACTGGAGGATCATCATGAGTCTAATCTGTGTAGTGAGACCTTGTAGACTCTGTACTAAATAAAATAAAATAAAATAATTCAATTATATTTGGGGCTAGCAAGATAGCTCAGTATAGGGAACCGCAGTTCAATCCCCAGCACCAGCACCTCATGCCACACCAGCCCCGCCCTCAGGGCAGGCTGAGCCAACAAAACAATAACAACAAAAAAAAAATGCCTGTCTCATGTTTAGAGCCTGCCAGATAGCTCAGTGGACTAAAGCACCTGCTTAGGCAGAGCGCAGCAGCTGGGGTTTGATCCCCGGCCTGCCCTACCAATCCCACTGCCAGGGCATGCTGAGACCGCAACTGAGACTGGACATGGATCAAATTACAAACTGGGCAGCTGTAATCCCAGTACTTGGGAGGCTGAAAACAGAAGGACCACTATGAGTCTGATCTATGTAGTGAGACCCTGTAGACCCTGTCCTAAATACAGAAAAAGAAAAGAGACAGGTAAGCAGCTTCTCCACCCACTCACAAAGGGAAGGTCATGGGAAGATAAAGCAAGAAAATGGTCACCTACAAGCCAATCTTCACCAGAAACACACCTTCATGAGTCTCTGATCTTGGACCTACACACTCCACAAC